CTTCATTTTAATCTGTAAAAATTCACCAATTCGAAGCTAAAAATCGTCGTATTTATGTTCATCCTGTGCGTCTCATTTTAAAATTTGCCCAAAATAAACCATTTGTTTTAATCACATTTTGCAAAAAACTGAAGATCGGGCGCTTGTCAGTCTCACCAGAGAGGAGACAAGAAGGGAAGTAGATTACCAACATGAGAAGTAAAACATCCACAGTATGCAGAGCGGATGTTTAGTCCACGTGTTGCATCCAGATTTTTAAAAATTTTAGTAAAATAATCAAAGAAATTCAACTTTCGGTTTACAGCATCATAACAGAGACATCTCTGAGTCTCTCTCCGTCTTGCAGGACTTTGTATTACAGTGAAAAATAAGCCAAAAGGGAGTTAAAAGATTAAAAAAAAAGTGACAGAAGCAAAACAGAAACTGCTCGAAGTTCAGCGCTTTAAACATGAATATAAATGATGCAGCGCTGCAGAACGATCCGACCGCGGAGCAGAGCTGAGGTCAGTTTTAATGAGTTTCGCTACTGTATATTTGATTCCTCACTCCCACACTTCCCTCCCCGTGTGTGTGTGTCTGTCTGTGTGTGTGTGTGTGTGTGTGTGTGTGTGCGCAGTTTATAGTGGAGTGTCATGGCAACACGCTGCTGCCTCAGTTCCTGGGCATGTACCGGCTAACGGTGGACGGAGTGGAGACGTACATGGTGGTGACCCGGAATGTATTCAGCCATCGGCTCACCGTGCACCGCAAGTACGACCTGAAGGTACGCAGCGAGACGGCCGGCATTCTCTTCAACAGCTTACTGGCATATTACCCATTTTAATTTGTTGTTAAATTACAGGTAATGACGAGTAAAATAACTGGAAAAAATACACCAAAAAAGAAATTAAAGTTGTGCACTTTTACAAAGAGTGATGTGGTTATTTATTTACACTTAAAATAAGACTCTTAGAAGTGCATTGAAATCAGCGAGGATGTCATTATTTTATAAATATTTGTCGTTTAAAGTAGAATAAGGATAGAAATCATTTTTTTAGATGGTAATTTACATACTTTCCTTGGAATAAATTGCAGATAATATTTTGTAAAATCACAGAAGAAAGTATTAATTTAAATACCCACATCAAAAACCTGTATTTTTTTTTATAATTGCTAATTTGTTTTACTGAAAATGACACTCCTTATAGTTTATTTAAAATAGCAAAAATATCTTCTTTTTTTCCTACAAATGTTTGCCGTTACTGGAGAAAAAAAAAATAGAATAAGGGTGAAAAAGTCGTAGATGATTTTTTAACTGTTAATTTACATGTTGTCCTTGTATTAAATTGATTATATTTAGTAAAATCACAGAAAAAAGTTTGAAGTTACATTTATTTGAGCAGCTTATTTCTCATAATTATTTGCTGTGGTCATTTCAAAAACACTGTCGTTTTGTGTAGCAGGTTTTCTATAGATTAACCAACATATTGGAGCCTTTTTCAGGATTTTTTGTCACCTCCTGAAGAGGTTTTAGGCAGAAAATCACTGAAATTTTTTTTTAAAAATCTGCATTTTTAACTGGTTTGGTTGATTTTGGCTTCATTTACTCAAGAGTAAAATACCTTTTTTTTTAATCAAATGGCCAGAAAAAAACAGAAAAATGCACAGATTTCAGATGAATAAGGTGTCAGTTTTACTTAAGTTTATATTTGAATGCTTAATTCAGTTAGAACTGGGACCAGTCATCTAATGTGGCCACATGCCTGATTTGAATTTAATGTTAAAAGTTTGTTTGTGAACTCTGCCTTCGATCAGAACAGGTTCTTGATTTGCAGATTTTCCTCCTGTCAGATTGTTTGTAATTAAATGTCCAGAGCTTTAATACGTCTTGAACACGTTTTCGTCAGAGAACCTGATCAGTCAAAGGTTCATTGTGGTGTTCTTGCAGGAGATTATAAATCCAGGTCATCGGTAAAGCCCGATAGCTCTCGGTTTGTGGCCAAGATTCCGATTTACAGTAGACTTGAGCGCAGCAAGCTGGAAAATTTAAAAAACCCTTCAGATCAGAAACCTTTTCTCCTGCCAAGAATCCTCCGGAGACAACATCCCTCCGCTTTCTAATGCTGACAGTTTAAAAAGACGCCGTCCTAGTATGGGTGGGTAATATGCTAACGACTCCTCTGATGCACGCGGCGCCGCTTTCAATTAATTCTATTTTTAATTCTTTTTTTTTCTTTTTTTTCCAGGGTTCTACGGTCTCAAGGGAAGCCAGCGACAAGGAGAAGGTGGGTTTCATATCCGCGCGCTGACGGCTGCTGACATGATGGAGCCAGAAATAGGCGCCCTGAGCTCACCCCAGAAGCAAACCTGTCAAATGACGGCTAAATTAAGTAGCTATAAGTAAGCAGATGTATTCCAGTGGAACCTCGCGCGCTGGCCTCCCGCCGCCGGAGGGGAGCGTTTAGTGTGTCAGCAGACGGTCATTAAGTCTCGCTGTCTAGTCAGACGTTTAAGGACCACTGTTGATTCTGACCTTAATCTCCTGTCCTATTATAATAATTATGACTGTATGAGTGGTAGAGCTGCACATGTAGGTGTGGCTCGTAGACCTCTGAATGTTTTACAACCAAATAAAGCGTACTATATATATATAAAGCCAACATGTTTCCTGATATTATCGTTTTCTTCTCTCCAGGCGAAAGAACTCCCCACTTTTAAAGACAACGACTTCCTGAATGAAGGCCAGAAGCTGCAGATAGGAGACGACAACAAGAAGTACTTTTTGGAGAAGCTAAAACGGGACGTCGAGGTGAGAAACACGTCCAGCAGTGTGACACCACAATTAACTCAGAGTTCAAAGTATCTGTCCCAGAATAACATCTAAAAACATCTAAATTTGCTTCACAGGTTTTATTTTTAGATTTTTGTTGTTCTGGCAGTGGAGCTGTCAGTGTGTGAAATTAACAGATGGGATTGTGGGTTTATTTAAAGCAGTGAAGGAAATATTAATATTAAATGAAATGGTAGAACAATAGGTTGGCAACATCTGATTAAAAAAAGGAAGTTTAAAGCCAAAAACGACTGTCAGAAGCTGACTTTGGTGAGTCTACCGCAGTGAAATGGACAAATGAGGAAATGAAATGAAGTTGAAATACACAAAGACGCCTGAAAGCTACAAACACAGACGTCATGTTAGGATTTGTACGGAAACAACCAGATTAAAATGATTGGAATATTATGTCAACACTCTTTTGAAGTTATGAAGAAAATATGAGGAGCTGAACATGATCCAAAAGAAAATAAAGAAAAAATAATAACAAAAAAATAGCAGAACAAAAGTTTGACCACATCTAATACAAGAAAAGGGAGTTTAGTTAGAAAATACAAACAGTTTGTTCTGTTACGTCGTAGGTTTAATATATTTGGGTAAATAATAATCGTTCGTTGCAGTAGTTTGATTTTATTAGGAGTCATTTTAATTGAGGGTATTATTTAATTTCTTGCTTTAAGTTTACTGTAGTTGTTTTTTTAAATGCTGGTCTTGTGTCGTGGGTTATTTAATGATTAATCAAATAGACTTCCTGATTGCGAGTAGTTTTTTTTTTATGTGGTTCCCATTATTGGTGTCAAACACGTGATGAACTCTTCTGTGGAGATGCTGCGACTTGTCGGCATAATCGATGCATCAACATCAATATATTTCTGATCTTATTGTTGTGAAGTGACTTCAGCCAGTTATCGATCAGCTCCATTCAACGCTACAGTCTCAGACGACGACGGCTGCAGCAGCGTTCGATGATTCGGTTCCGTGTAAAGGTTTCAAAGGTGTCAGAAGTCCGGGAGAAGTTGGTTCGTTGGCTGCAGAGTTTTAGATTTCAGAGCACAGTGGCACTGAACACCTGAAGAGGAAACACCAAGGCCCCTCGGCACAGACGCACTTTGCTTCTCCTGCGCTCGTATATGCCGCATTTTAATTCATCTGAATTCCCAGTAAAGCTCTTCTCATTTACATATTTTTCTATTTCTGTTGTCAGACGGCAGAATCGGTTTGAAACGATGCCTGAACGCGGCTCTTTACACGCTAACCTGCCGTCACTTCAAACGGCTCCTCTGCAGCTAAAATCCTGGTTTTCATAACGACGACGAAATCACCAAAAACATTAACGAGTTAAAGACGACGGCTGTGAAGTAGATTTACATCTAAAGTCAGACACAATAAGGAGAATAAAGGAGCTGCTTTGGCTGCTTCTTCACCTGTTAAGGCCTTTCATAGAAACTCATTTTTCCTTCGGCGTTGCACTTCTAGCTTTAATAAGAATCCCTCGTCTTTTTATTTATTTCTACCAGCTTTACACTTTGATGTGTTTGTTTACAGGCTGCATAAGACAACAGCGTACAGTCTGCAAAATCTAAAATACGCGAAATGGTCAATTAATTGTTTAAAAATAGTCAGTAGATAAATAAATAAATAGTTGTTGGTCGCAGCCGACACTCCTGCAGTCGCACGGTTTCTTGGGTCTACAGGTGCGGAAATGAGACCCTTTTTATTATGTTTACTTCTGCTTCCTCTAAAAGTGTTTCCCCTTCGCTAGCATGCATCATCACAGGTCTTTTTTCCAACAGCGTGTAAACGCAGCAGCTTGCTTCAGACTAATGTTGTGGAACAAAGGATTTCTGCTCCTCTGTCTTCACGTCTCACCTTCGCTTTTGTCTCATATTCTCGCTTGGAGAAGTTAAGACGCGTTAGCATCATGAAAAGTACTCACAGAAGTAAACATTAACATAAACAATGTGAGTTTTAAAGGTCAGTGGTGAAAATGGCAGCGTTCACCATGTTTGTCAGGAATACACAGCATGTGTTTTAGTGAATGATGTTGAATAAATAAGTCATAATGAGATTAGAATAAGTTTTGCATTGCATGGAAGAATTGACAAATTGGGTATTTTTTGCTTCAGGGACGACTGCAGTGTTATTAAATGTAGTCGCACTTTACTCTGCTGAGAATGTACGCTTGCTTGATCTCACGTTTTAAAAATCTGTTAAATTTTCAAGGGAAAAGTGTTGAAAAGTCAAATTTCTAAATAGTATTCACTTAATTTGTGTTTTGTATGAACACCTGCAGGCCTTAAAAAGTCTGAAAAAGTTCTGGTTCAGACTTAAAAAGCAATAAAACGTCTTGAAACTAAAATATCAGTACGTTAACTTCTATCTACGTGGTTCCAGACTATCAGAAGACGTTAGACACTGAATTAAACTGGCACAACAGTGGGGAAGCTCATCGACGCAAATTAGTTTGAACAAAATCTCATTATTCTGTAATCGGATCAATTCTGAACCAGTCGTCTGCCTCGTATCTGTGAGCATGACTTGTTTTATTAATTCATTATATTATCAGGGATCCTTGTTAAATTACAGCCAAGAATCATGGAGCTTATTGTTCTGACTGATTTTGACTAATCTGACTGTGAAAAAGTATTAAATGTCGTATTAATCCTGCAGAAACCAATCACTAGAGTTTTTTGTCATCCAGCTGAGTTTAATAATCACGACACGATCATGTATCTCATGTGAGGCTGCCATCGAGTTCGTTCTGACCTTTGCGACTGCTTCCTGTTGCGTCTCAGTTCCTGGCCACCCTGAAGATCATGGACTACAGCCTCCTGGTGGGGATCCATGACGTGGAGCGAGCCGAGCAGGAGGAGATGGACGTGGAGGGCGGCGGCGAGGAGGACGAGTACGAGAACGACGGGATGGGAGGCGGCGTGCTCACCGGCTCCTTCGGCACGCCTCCCGACAGCCCCGGGAACCCCCTCAACTGCGGGGGGTTCTTCGGGCCCGGGGAGTTCGACCCCTCCGTGGACGTTTACGCAATCAAGAGCCACGACAGTGAGGAGCCTCGTCTTTCAGCCGTAGCTTTACAATTACAGGACAAAAATAGTAGAAAAATAACAGATAGATAGCAGCAGCACAGCAGCTCACACACTGCATTTAAGAAAAACAACAAAACTAACGTGCAGTTAATGTGTGAATTGTGCAGGTAGAGACGATGCTGTTTACAATACAAAAGATGGCATTTAAAGTTCTTAGTGTCGTATAAAAATAGAAGTAGTACACAGCTCTTTTTAAACAGTGCTGTGTGTTTCATTTTTTTTTAGATCATTTTGTTAGTTGTGTGGGGCTGTAAGGTGGCTCAGTGGTTAGCACTGTTGTCTTGAAGCTAGAAGGTTGCTGGTTCGCATCCCGGTGAGGACACCTGGGATCTTTTTGCATGGAGTCTCCCCGTGCAGCGTGGGTTCTCTCCAGGTTCTCCGGCTTCCTCCCACAAGGTCCAAAAACATGTTGAGGTTAATTGGTGATTGTAAATTGTCCGTAGGTGTGAATGTGAGTGTGCTTGGTTGTCTGTCTCTAAGTGTAGCCCTGTGATAGACTGGTGACCTGTCCAGGTGAACCTGTCTTCACCCTGAGTCAGCTGGGATAGACTCCAGCCCCCCATGACCTTAGTGAGGATTAAGCGGGGTATAGATAATGGATAGTTGTTTTGTGTTGTAATTATTCACCACTGTGGTTTTTTTTTTAATTTACTGCTGATTGTAGGACAAATTGGCACTCTGGGATATTAAAGTTCACCTTTTAACTTAGAGCACTTAAAACTCAGTAGAGCAAGTGGAAGGAAGCTTGTGTCGTTTGTTTTTTTCCCTCCAGGTGCTGAAAGTTAAACCCTCCCGATGTGTTGCAGGTGCTGTGAAGAAGGAGGTGTACTTCATGGCGATCATCGACATCCTCACGCACTATGACGCTAAGAAAAAAGCTGCACATGCTGCCAAAACTGTGAAACACGGGGTGAGTGCTGAGACAAGAAAAGGACAGAAATCACCACAATGCAGATGAATAACGCAGTAGTTTGCAACTTTCTGAATGCCTTCAGTTCACTTTGAAAATGTAGTGAGGGGCTGCTGCTATAGCTCACCTGGTTGAGCTGGTGACCCATAATGCAGTGGTCAAGGGTTCGAATCCCACTGATGGCGCTTTGCTGCAAGTTCTTCTCTTCCACTTTCCTCTCTCTCTTGACTATTAATCTAATAAAGGCAAAAAAAATAACTTAAAAAAATAAAAAACTTAGTCAGTCTTCATCTGAGGTTTGCTGACAATGAGGTTTAACTTTGGATTTCATGGAGACTGAGCCTCATCATCCAGCACTGCCAAGTGGTGCAACCAACATTTATGTTAAACTGACTTATTTTTAAAATGATGTATTTCCTCTTAAACCGTGCAAGAAATCCTAGATGGCATGTTTGCATTCATTCAATCCTGATTTAAACTCCAAATACACTGAAGTACGGAGGTCTCATTTATAGAGAAAGATAGATGCACGCAAATAAAAAAACTATTATTAAAATAAAGCATTAGGAATAGCGTTTAAAAGCAAATATATGAGCTAAAAACCAGAACAGTTGGAAGTAAAATAAGACGAATTGGACGAGATAGAACTTAGTAGAATGTTGTAATCATAAGGAAGTTTACATGTCAGTGGAGGCTGGACTTAAAGTTCTGGGACTAAATTAGTCTTTCCAGTATCGGTGGCATCTGTGTGCACTCGTAAAAATGATGTTTTTCAAGTTTGTAAAACCAATAACTTGAGGAAATGTGTGGCATTCTGACTGTGTTGTTCCTCACAGAGGACATGGCTGAGTTCTCTCTACTTCTAGTCCTGCTTGTTCTGTCTCCATAGAGGTGCACAAATTAACACACGATGAAGAAAAATGTGACGGAACAACACCCAGAACCAGCTTGTCTCTGTTTTAAATCACTGCACATTAAAATATATTTGTGTTTGAGAAAAGTGTGAGAAAGGTCACTGTTTCTTGACATTTTATTGACCAAGTAAGTAGTTTCTTAGTTAAAAAAAACAAAACAAAACTGATGAATCAAAAGTGAAAATGATGATTTTTTTTAGCAGTAAATATCATTTTTATGCTACTTTTTCAGTCTCATGTTATCCTCCTGATTATTTTCTTGATTGATCGGTTAGAAAACAGTGAAACGTGTCCATCAGTGACGTCCTGAAATGTCTTGTTTCATTCCCAAGACATTTAGTTTACTGTCATAGTGTTGTACTTGTTTTGTTGCACTAAGCTCCACACAGGACTGTCCTCCTCCACATATTAGTTAGTTATCTATCTATCCATCTATCCATCTATCTACCTACCTACCTACTCAAATCAGTCAGTTAGTCATTACAGCTCTGTCTTTAAGTAATTTCTTTTCCCTTTCCATTCCTCAGGCGGGGGCCGAGATCTCGACGGTGAACCCGGAGCAGTACTCCAAACGATTCTACGAGTTCATGTCCAACATCTTATCATAGACTCATCTCCCAGTCCAAGCCAGTCGCACTTCTCGTCATAGGTCTGTCAAGACGACGCCACTTACTTGTTTCTCTCCTCCCTCGCCTCGGTGTAGGTCCGTCTCCCGAACGCCTCTTTCTCTCTTTAGAAGAAAAAAATAAAAACAAAAAGAAGAAAAACAAAAAAAAAAAACCCAACAAAACTTCCAGCGTCCTCCCACAGCCAGCACCAGCCTGGCAGGACGGATGCATCCAGCCTGTTACAGTCCCCACATCACCACCACCACCACCGCCGCCGCCGCCTCCTCAAACTCGTGAAAAGCCCCTCACCGGATCTGGATCCTGCTAATCTCCCTATTTTTTAAAAAAGAAAAGTCCTCCTCAGCCACCTTGTCGCTCCTCACGCCAGCACGGAAACTGTCTCACTAATGCCTTGAACGAGTGTGTCAGCTTCAGCAGTTAACAGTCCGTTAGTAGAGTCTCTTCGGTTTCTGTTCATGTTGTTGTTGTTCTTATGATTTCTATTAGACACACACACAGACACACACACACACACAGATGTAAACACAGATGCAGAATGGTCAGATTGCATGACAAACTCCTTCGACAGTCGCCATCAGGCTTCTCTCTCTCTCAGCAACAAAGAATAAAAAAAAAAAAGACAAGACAAATTTGGAATGACAGGGGATAAACACATTAATATATAATGGTGTATTAAGTAAATGAATGCAATATCAAAAAATGCATGGCTGACGTGTACATGAGACTCCACCAGTCGACAAACATCAAACCACTGAACTTCTGAGTGTTACGACGAAAACGACAAAAAAAGAGAAAAAAAAAAAAATCGGTGTTTGAATGTTATGTTGCCATATTGTTTTTGAATATTTCTGAAAAATTTTAACCGTGAGCTTGGTGGAGGTCGGTCTAAGAGAAAAAAAAAAAAAAAAAACTCAACATAAAAAGGGGAATTCTGCAGCAAATACTTGTTTTATTACCATAAGGATCATTTTTATATCTTGTTTACATTAATGTAGCAATTTTGTGTTTGTATACAGTATTGTTTTGTTACCAACAGACATTAGGAAAAAAAGGTTACTTGAAAAAAAAATGATTCATTGCATATTAAAGGGAGTTTTATCTTGTTTTCGTTTGGCTGCGCTCGTTTCTTCTTCCAGCTCGTGCAGGATTCTTCGCCTTTGATGCCACCGCGGGTGTCGTTTTCGGCTTTGGAAACAGAAAAGTGTTCAGTTGTCGGCCGAGGAAGACGGAAAGATGGCTTATTTGGAACCTTTTGTTATGATTTCAAAGTCGAGACGCTAATTAGGCAGCATTTGGTGTCAGTTGACTGGTTCGCGAAAAGGTACTCGAGTTCATTAAATCTTGAATTTTAGTCATCGCGTCTGGTTCACATCCACGTCTGACTGATTTATAATTGAAAAACGGGTCTAATCTAAATTTTTTTCCCCATCATTGTCGGACAATATTCAACTGTTTCCAGATTTCTTTTCAGGTGTTTTTGCCTCTATTTTGACAGGGACAGTGCAAAGAATGACGAGAGAGCAGCAGGGAAATGACATGCCGGGATTCAAACCAGAGATCTGCAGCTCAGGGGACACGCGGTACGCATCCCAACCACTCGGCACTATGATCGCAACACACACACAACTGATTTTAATGTTTGAGTCTTGATCAGTGTGGCTACATTACACTCCGACAAGCTCTTTGGTGACCTGAGATCACAGCAGTTTGAGTAATTCAGCTGCTCCTTGTGTCACTTTTTAAGACCCGAAGCACAGAATATTTAAAGAGATATCACAAATATTAAGTTGTTTGGTGCAGAGACTAGAATTAAGTTTACATAACAGATCTGAAAGGTTCTATTAACAACAACGTGAGACATTTTGTTTGAACCCATGTTTGTTTATTGCGCAATATGAATAAGAAGGGGGGGAAAAAGGAGACAGTACAGGCATCATTTTTATACAAAACATCCGTGTCAGTGAAGTGCAGACAGAAACCGGAGCTCTAGTCCATCCTGGCCTTCAGGGTTCGTGTGGTGATCTTGTCTTTCTCGCTGAAAGAGAAAAGAAAACATGCCGGCATCAATATAAAATCACAGCAAGTCAACACAGGAGGCGTTCAGGTACAGTACTGGGCTGTAGGACAACTGAGCTCTGGAGCAGAGGTAAGCCCGACACTCAACACGTGCAGGTAAATAAAAGAGAAATGTGCTTCTGATGGTGTTCACAGATGCAACAACAAGCTCGTGTAGACTAGAGCTGCACCAGTTGATCAGTTACTCAACTATTGTGTGAGAAACTATATTTTCTGGTTTCTTTGCTCCTCAATGACAGTAAACTGAATATATTTTGGATAAAATAACATTTGCAAACATGATCTTTAACTTTAGGAAACACTGATTGAAATTTTTTTACCATTCTCAGACATTTCATTGATTAAAAAAAACAAAAAAAACAACTCTGATTAATCGATAAAGAAATTGATGGATTAATCGACAATAAAATCAGTTGGTAGTTGTAGCCGTGTTGTGTTTACTGAACTCTACAGCATGCAAAATGTGTGGTTAGATTGGAGCTGCAACAATCAATCAATTAGGTTTAAATTAATCACCAACTGCTTTGATAGTCATTCAGTCTGAGTAATATTTTCAGGAAAAGAGCTTGTTAGATGTGATTATGTTCCTTTTTTTGACTCTTATGACAGTAAATCTTCAGGCTGTGGACATCACGCTGGGTTTGGAAAATACTCATCAACGTTTAACATTTTATTGACCAAACACTTAATGGCTTAACAAAATAAAAACTCCAACAGATTAATTGCCAATGAAAACAATCCCTAGTTTCAGCCCTCAGTGTAAACAGCTGGATTATAAACTACAAGTGCATTAAACGCCCTCCGTGTGGAGTGGTGCAGGCAACTTACATGACGTGTACGACGACTCCCATTCCAGACACTGCATCTCTGTCCACAGCGTTCAGCATCGCCTGCGAGATGGTCTCAAACAGGTCCTCTGGTTCCTGCATCATCGGTAACATTTGTCAGATTAACAGTCGCGAAAATGGGAAAAAGTTTGACTTAGAAACAACCGAGGATAACCAAACCATAAATACAGCTCACATGCTGCACAAGAATAGGTGGCGTAAAAAGAAAATAGATATTTTAGGTAACAAATTGGAAATTATTCTTCTTTGCCTGTTGAACAAAACCTTTCTGATCTTGTAATTTGCTGCTAAAAAGTTAAGTTTGAATGTTTTCTACAGGTTAATGTTAACAACATCTCACTGCACAAACATGCACACATTCCTCACAAGGACCTGACTAAGAAAATACTAATATACACATTAACAAATGGCAGTAACTGTCCTTTAGCTTTCATGGCTAGCAGCGTATTCAAACTTTAGGTAATACTGACCATGTCTGGCTCCCACAAAGATTCACACATGCCGTACATCTGCTCCGAGCAGGTGCCGCTCACAACAAAGTCTTCCGTCACCATGGGGCAGCCGATCAAATCCAGGGAGCAGATGAAAGGCTCCAAGGTTTTGGGGTCGAGTCCGGCGATGACGGGCTCGATGTAGTATGGCCCAAACCTGGTGAGAGAATCAGTCTTTTACTTTCCCTGCAAGCACTTATGCTGTCACACGAGGGCAACGTTCTCAGTATGATTTGTCCAAACACTAGGTCAATGCACTCACCTCCTCTCATACAACAGGTTGGACACCATGCTCATGAAGGTTTTGGGTTTGATTTGGCGACCCTCCTTCAGCTCATACAGGTTCAGTCTGAATTTAAGCCTCTGAGATCTACACACAAGACAACAAGTTACCATCAGTGTGATCAGGGAGAAGCTACCTTTTCATCAGTCCTGACAGGTTCGACATTAGATGTTACTCTAACTACAAATAATGTGGGTTACTATCCTGTGTTGATGTCTAAACCAAGCAGTGTGGTGATGACCTCAGTCTTGAGGTTTTCTGTAAAGTTGTGTTTTTTGTTTTTCTTGTGCAAATGCTGAAGATATGAGAGTTGTCAGAGTTCAAACTTGTCGTCATGCAGGATGCTGAGGTTAGACACACTCACACTGTCTGAACATCAGTAGCCAGACCAGCCAGCCCGATGTACAGCCGCTCTCCCATGGGGAAGATCTTCTGGAAGTCTGTGGTAACCATCTGAGCCTGAATGCCGTACCTCCGGTCCGCTGCGATCGCCACGCAGTTCTTCCCCCGCATGGCCATGACGGCCCCTCCGTTATAGGACATAATAGACTGGATGGTGAAGAAGTAAGTGAGTCAGTCAGTCACAGAAACATTATCAGCAAAAACTAATAAATAAAATAAGTGACACATAGAGCTGCAACAATTAAATGAAACATCAATTAGTGTCACCTATTAAATTAATTGCCAACTATTTAGATAATGGAGTAAACAGTAAACAAAAAGTTTAAAAATTCTTCAACTGCAGCTTCTAAAATGTGAATACTTTCTGGTTTCTTTCCTCCTTTATAACAGTCAACTGAATATCTTTAACTTGTGGACAAATTGATCTGGGGTTTCAGGAAACACAAATTGAATCCATTAATCGAGAAAACGATTGACAGATTTATTAAATAATGAGAACAACCACCAGTTGCAGCACTACCACTGAAGGAATTTAAGCAAAAACCTGCTGTTTCAAGATGTCACAATAAGATGTGACAGATTACGGCTGAACAATCGATTTCTACTTGAAACTGCAATTTGAAACAATGCAGTCAGCAAACTGTAAGGTCTACAATACAAGATATATGTTTAAAAAGTTTAATCTGTCAATATTTTTTACAAATTCATGCTGTCGTTCTTGTGGGACAGTCACGCTTTTCATGGTGTTTAAATGCTCCATCACATGTTTTAAATAATGAATACTGAAGTGAAGCAAGACTTTACAAAATTATATCCACAATTAAATATGTCTGTAACATCTGTTAGTAAAATCTGAACGAGATATTTTCCCCACACCATTTGCCATTTGCTTTCAAAGCCCCTACCATGAGTATTTAATTAAATAGAATATTTCTAGAAATTAAAAAAAAAAAAAAAAAAGGAACAACCACCTCATCTGGGCTCCATGTAAAATACAGTTGAGTACTTCGTAACAGACACCATAAATTTTAAAGGTATCCAAATAATCGAGCAGGATTATTGCTGACAAACGTCTTAACATGTAGCGGTAATTAAACCAACTCAAACTGGAACTAACGAGAGGATTAACAAAGGAGACATGTCTGAAATATCCGTGAGATATTAGTAAACCTGATCATACTTGGCTACAAAAAGTGAACTGTAGATGGCAGGTGTTAGTTTGCTGTTCACGGTTTCTTTGTGAAATCCAGGTGTTAATTACTGATTTACTTCAACTATCCAAGCTCACAGAGTCTGATCAATGTTAGCTGAAATTTTGCTCGGTCACAGAAACAAAATATGCTTGAAGTGAATTTAGGATTTGACAGTAAGTAAACAGAAAGTTACTGAACATCACAGTCATTAGCAGAAGTGCAGCTAGCAAAAGGCTAAGTAGTTAGCTTTCCGATTTTTACCGGCTATTAGATTTTATTCTTCTGTTTAGTTACCTTAAATATCTCTTACAATGTGTAAGTAAATTCAGACAACTTATAAAAGCTTATGTTCACACTTGTTGGCAGTTATTTATATTATTAATGCTAGCTAACTTTGGAGAGCATGCTAAATTGCTGTGTCCATTAGCTAGCATCATTAGCTTCGCCAATCTCTTGCAGTTTTTAATCTTATTAACTCATTTTTGCACAATTTTATCCAGTAAACCACATTACAGTGATCTAATGTGTGATGTTCTTACCATTGTGACGGTGTTGCTGTTTATCCCCCAACTATTAGAACCTAAAACTGCGCTCCTTCTTCGCTGTTATGAATGACTACTAGCTTCCCAGAGTGACTACACGATTTAGAAACACAGAGATCACACTAGCTTGATTTTTCTAATGCGCGAATTTCATTGGCTGGATGAAAACCACGTTGGGCAAAGCCCTGTTCTCATTGGCTAATACCAGCTGGGGCGCACGTAGTTTGGTTGACGTGTGCGGAAGCGAAATTAAAACGAGGAATTTTCTGTGAAAACGCTTCAAAACTGAGCTGTCACTGTCACCGGGTGAGGCATGCAACCAGCAACAGCTTTTCTGGTAATTATTATTGATACATGACAATAAACAACTGAAAGAAAATATTCAAATTCTGGCAAATTAACCCTCTGAACTCCAAGCAGTTCCTAGTCTATTTTAATTCACTGTGGGTTTGTTATTCACTCTTATGTAAAGTCATGCACCTGCATGAAAACAGCACAACCATCCCTGAACAACAAAGTTATAGAAAGATATATACATTTTAAAAAGTTGAATTTTTTTATTTATGTGGCTTTTTTCCTACCCAAGTGCCCACAGCTGCTACCAATACTGGGAAACAGTGACTCTACACACTACAGATATTCTGCTATTTACAGTTTTAAGCCTCTGCAAACTTGGAATTCCTCACACCACTCTGCAGATGTTTCACCATGCTGCATCTATCTTCCAACAACTTGTTCCTTTGCTACTATTGCATGTGCGTGCAGTTGCACAGAATAGTGCAGTATTTTATGCTTTTTGCAGTATCTGGTTACTGCAAACAATTTTTAGTGAATTTTAAATGGAATATGTAGAATTGATGAACTATCATCATCTTAAGTTGAGGTCTGGTACCATTTGTCGCTCACGATTCCTTCCAAGGACCATCAGAAAGTTATAAATCTGATGATGGTTTATGCTGTCACAGTTCCTTGCTCTGATAAATGGTGTGATTTTGGCGATTTTTGTAAGCGATAACATACCTTTCAAACCTGCTAGTGGGTTGTGGGGTTCAGAGGTTTAATGTCTGGTCAGTTGACAAATAAGTGGTAAATTATCCAGCATCGATGTGGAGCCAGCGGTTTGCAGGAATGTTTTATATATAAATTCTCAGTAAACAACCTGATAAAACTGCTCAGAAATAATAGCAGCCAGACAGTTGTGGTCTAAATAGATACTCAAAAGTAATTGTAAGTGTTCTAATTATTATCATTGGTAGTAGTAGTAGTAGTAATAACAATAATAATAATAAGAAGAAGAAGAACCAAATTGCAGGAGCTCCCATTTCTTTGGTAAAGGTAAATAGCGTAGCATGAATAAATGACGTATTGTGGTGCCACAGAGACGTCTCGTCTTCATTTTCTTCAGATGTAAGAAAACACGCTTGTTTGGAAATGACCACAGTAAAACTCACAATATTACTATTATATAGATATATTTTTCAGGGGGTAAACAAATACAAAAGTTTCCATTAAAAACATGACTGATGTAGCAGTATTAGTCAAAATCAATGCACTGTGACCTTTTTTTGCCTACAGTTTAGCCCTAATGAGAGAATTCCTGGGAAAAGATATGTTTGTTTTAAAAAAAAAGGAAAGATAGAATAAATAAAGACACTCCAGAAATTGAGTTTATGTATATCTGTTTCTACTCACATCAGTACACTAAACGTATATTACAAAAAAACTGAGATAAAACAGGTCCTATCATTCTGTAAAAACAATATACTGTACAAAGTTAGGACTACATCGACCTTATGAAGGGATATTTGAGTTCTAAAAAGTAGGAATTGTGTGAAATAACAGTTTTATGACCATTGTTGAATCTGCCTTTCAAGACAGCTGGGTTTCCCTGACAGACTCCCACCACAACGTCCAGATCATTAAAGAGAGACACCAGGTGGAGGGCATCGCGTTCGCAGGTGTATTCAGTCAGTTCAGAGTCTGTGCCGTTAACGTCTCGTGTCTTCATCTCTTCATGAAGTTGTCGAGGGACGCCGGCGTCCTCTGAATCGAGTGGATGTTCCTCTTCACCCTGTCCTCTAAGGAGGAGCTCGCTGCACTTTCCAGCTTCATGTTACTGTGAGAAGAAAAAGGTCAGTGTTACCCAATCTGAAGTGTAACAGCAGAGACACATTGTTTAACATACATCAGGTGACTTGAGTCCACAAACCCTCTGACTGAACTTACTGGATGAAGCCAGCATGCCGGTCGTGTTTGGCGTTTTGCTCCCTCTGCTTTTCCTGCTCGTCCTGCCTCTTGTATCGCTTCACGTTGTTCTCTCTGTCCTCCTCCCTCTGCTTGGCCTGGTCCATCATCTCACGCCTCTTTCGCTCCAGCTCCTCTGCAGAGAGCTTCCTACAGCAGGCAGGACAACAGAGAAAATTAGCTGATTCGGTGTGGGTGGTGATAAAAACAAGCCTCTGAATAACAGATTCAAACTGCATTTTCTGCGTTACCTTATTGCAGATCATCAGAGCAAGAACAACACCAGTAAAAGAGGTGGAATAGTTATGTTTTGCCAGCTTAAATGGTACAGCAACCCAGCTGTGACAAAGTGGGTTTAAGACGAAAGACTGCAGGTCAAAGCTGCACGGTTTAATGGATTAGTTGTCAGCTGTTTTGATGGACAAGGACAAAAAGCAGTTACAATTCTCCTATTCCAGTTTAAATGTGAATATTTCCTGGTTTCCTTCCTCTCTTGTAACTTGAATATCTTCAGGTTGTGGACAAAACTAGACATGTGAGGACGTCATCTTGGGCTTTGGGGAACAATGTGTTACATTTTTTCACAATTTTGTAAAACTTTATAGACCAAACAACTAATCAATGAATCCAGAAAATAATCAACAGATTCAATAATGTACATATTTGCTAGTTGCGGCCCTACTGGAGGGAAACTCCAAAACTGTGATCTAATAAGAAGAGGGTGAAACTAGTAAACAAATAATGAATCTCAGTCACAATACTGTCACTCTTTAGACTATATCAAGGACTTTCTGACTCTTGCACACTGCCTGACTTGCAGAAATGCACCTATTTGCTGATGTTTCAGTGCTCGACCTTCATCAGGCAAGATAACACAGCACTAAAACTGTGACATTTTATGATGTGCTCGTCGTTCTCCTGCACAGAGTTGGATCGTTTGCAGGCTCTCGCCATCAGATGCGTGTGTTTTCTGGAGATGTGTGAGCTCTTACTTGGACACCGGGTTCCTCTGCCTTTGATATCGGTCCCTCTGTGGGCTCGGAGCTCTGGCTTCCGTCTTCTTGTCTCCTCTGTGTGAGGAGGACGAGTAGGAGCGACTGTCCTTGTGGTTCCTGGGAGGTGATCTGGATCGGCTCCTCTCACGGCGGCCTGAGTGGTTGGACGGAGCTGAGGCCTGCTGATGTCGGCCAGAGGGGAGCTGAGAGGGAAGATTTAACATTTAGGACTTATGTGCTCTCACAAATCTGTTAGGGAAATAGACAACAAACATCCCAGTAAAATTGCCTGGAAACTAGAGCTGTAGCATCACTCGTGTTACCTTCTTAAAGGGGAAAAGTGTAACATCAAAAGCCTTCCAGGGTTGATCTAGTAACTTCAGCAGCAGGAGGAGCAGACTTTGAACTAATCCACCATAATGGAGACTGCTATTAGTAACTTATTTAATGAACATTTACTCAGAGTTGCCTCCAAAGAAGTCGTCAATGTGGCTGCATTTTGCTCAAACTGATTTGCGGACAGCAGCTTGAGCTCAACAACCAACGTGTCAGATCGTCTATAAACAGCAGCTACCTCGTCTGTGTTTTATTCCTCAACAGTTCTTTTACTGCAACCACCAGTTGATGTAGGTCTATTTTTAAAAGAAAATCCTGCTCACTGACCTGTAGGCCGTAGCCTGGAACATGATGGGAACGAGATCTGTTGTCTGCTGAAGAGTCGTCGCGCGAGTGTGACCTGAAAACAAAATATTAAAACCGTTTATTTAT